AAAAAAAAAAAAAAAAAAGGCCAGAGTGAGAATGTACAACTAGATAGAATCAAGTCTCATAATCAAGGATGGTGCCAGCCAGTCACTGGAACCACTGAGGACTAAACTGTGGACAATGCCATGCTGTAAAGGAGGCCGTTCTCATCAAGGTCTCGCTCTCAGCCTCTCCGCGTTCTCATTGTCCCGGCCCAGCCCAGGCTGTACTTCTTCACGTGTTCTAGTGTGATGTCCTCTAACTGGTAGGCTGCCTGCACCCCTCCCCCTCTTCTGATCTGCACACAAAGTCCTCCCTGCGGGTCCCCTCTCTTCTTGGTATGCACCTCCGCTTGAGAGATCATATGCATGAGCGTGGCTTCAGCAGAGCAGAAGAACACAGCAGAAATGCTGAGCCAGCCCTGCTTCTCCCCCGTGCTCCTGGGTGGCATTTGCGATGGCCACTCAGACGTTTCTTCGTGGTGTTCCACTGCATCTCAAGCTTAAAGGAGACAATTCCACATTTAAATTTACCACGCCTCCTGGAAAGCCAACTTCCTTTACTATAATGATCTTCCTACTCTGACTTCTCATAAATTATCTACGTAACTGTCCTCACCAATGAGGCCACAAAATTCTCATGTTCCTCATTAATTTAAAAAATATTGTTTTTAATTTAAAAAAATGTATGTCTATACATTTTTGAGAGAGAGAGAGAGAGAAAGAGCAGAGCATGAGCGCTAGAATGGCATAGAGTGGGAGACACAGAATCCGAAACAGGCTCCAGGCTCCAAGCTGTCAGCACAGAGCCCGACGCGGGGCTCGAACCCACAAACCATGAAATCATGACCTAAGCCGAAGTCAGATGCTTCACTGACAGAGCCACTCAGGTGTCCCCCTCACCAAAAAATGTATTTTTAAATGATACTTAACTGATACTTGCTTTGCTCATATCAGCCATTTAAAAAACTTGTCGAAAACTCAATTTGAGTCAGTCAGTTCTGAACTCTACCACACAATAGCTTTCTCCTTCCTGAATTCATATATTTTTCGTAGTCAGTAAAACCTGTAAAACCTATAATACCTATTGCTTTGAGTTTGTCCTAGATCAAAATTTAGACTGTAGGTTACTGAAAAACACAAGCCATGTCTTCATTTTAAAACTCCTCCAATAGGGGTGCCTGAGTGGCTCAGTCAGTTAAGTGTCTGACTCTTGCTTTCAGCTCAGGTCATGATCTCACAGTTGGTGAGTTTGAGCCCCATGCCGGGTTTCATGCTGACAGTGCAGAGCCTGCTTGGGATGCTCTCTCTCTCTCTCTCTCTCTCTCTCTCTCTCTCTCTCCCTCTCTCTGCCCCTCACCTGCTCATGCTCATGTGTGCGTGCTCTCTCTCTCTCTCAAAAATAAACGTAAAAATAAATAAATAAAACTCCTCCACATAGTGATATGGTGTAGATAAAATTACTTATATTTTTACTGCTATAAAAATTAAAACTAGGTTTAGTTTTGAATGACTTCCAAAGAATAGTCAATAGGCTAAAAGAGAGAAAAATGGGATCAAAAATTCTGTAGCTCTGATTTTTTTTCTCAACTTTTCATATTGTCTATCTCTTTATGACTCAAGAAATCTAATTCTGTTAAAGAAGAAGAAAAGTTCAGAAGATCTGGGGAAAGAGATGATTTAGGTCTGACCTGAAGGCACGTGAGTACAGTTTAGAGAAGAAGAAAAAGGCTTTCATACCTGGAGATCATGGAGCTTTGCCTCTAGAACCTTGCTGTCGCCAGTTCTATCTGATGATTTTTTCGCCGCTGCCTTTATTCCAGAAAACCACTCTTGGAATTCCTGCATAGACTCTTTTGAAAGTAATGAAAATGAGAAATACATCCAAAACACTGAATGAGCTTCGTGGATTACCATAATGAATTAACGCTGGCCTTCAGCTCATTGCATCTTGCTTTACAGAATATTCCAGAAAGAAAATAATAATCATGTAGAATATACTATAGCATGGTCCATAACTATGACTGTTCATGGCAGAATCGAGAAATTGCCTCAGAGAAAAGACAGAAAAGAAATTTGTATTCCTAAGATATCCGATTTCCCATTCTTTCTTTCTTTTGGTAAATGAAGATAAATAATTGTCTGAATATGTAAGAGAGCAAAGGGACAAAGGCTCTAGGGGTGTTGAAGCCATTTTTATGGCAAAGGAAGGAACCGTGTCCTCTCTCCACCCAGCTGACTTAGAGCCATTTCACATCTTCATCAATGCAAAGACACAGCTGGGTGGGAAGCTGAGTCAGGGACCTCTGACCGGCAATTTCCCGAATTACATGGCTACCACTGTTTCATGGCCCAATATTCAAGTTTACTGTGTTACTTCGTCATAGCAGTGGAAGTAATTTTCCACCCAAATGAGCTATATGTAGAAAATCCAGATGAATTTCAGAATCCTGAAAATGGTGGATCCCTACTTTCTTGAGGAGGAAGAGGAAGAATTATGGCTACAGCCCAAGCACAACACTTTCACTGCTCAAATCTGGACATACAAATGAATTTAAAATGATATTCTGCTGGAAAGCTTTTTCCAACTATTGCTGGCAGTTTCTAGGCAGCATTTGGTTTGGATTCTTTCTTATAAACAAACTACTCATGCAAAGGCTTGTCAGAGCTCACCATTGAAGTGCTTCTCCAGAAAATCCTGAAGGCTGGCCTGTGTTTTGGAGCACAACTGGCTCACAGCTTCGTGGTTCTTTATCAGCCCAGTCATAGCACTGCCCAAGCTCTCCAGGTCAATGGAATGGTACTTGCGGCACAAGCTATTGAGATTTTCTTGGGTGGAGCTGATGTTGCTTTGCTGACTTTGAAGTTCCTTTTGTATTTCCTACAGAATAAACAAATGCCATGAAGGATATTCATCACATTCAAGGGAAATATTCCATCTATTCCACTATGGTACTTTTTTTGGGAAACTGATGCTGTTGAAATACACTCAGTAACGTATGCGTTTTTGTGGGATTTTTTTTCCACTATTTGTAATAGATCTGTGTTGACTCAGAATTTTGCCCAGTTCTCTTTGGGAACAAGTGCAAACAGCGGTTGAGAGGTCGTAGCATTTGGATTATGGTCTAGGATTCCAAGCAAATTGAATAGGTTCTTAGGGATTCCAGCCCATGATCTTGGGTTTAGTCAGTTGATTAGAAACTATTAATGGAGTCACCCCCTAAGTTCACATTCTTCAGTGGACTACTAGGGCTTTGTTTTAGGCTCACAGGCCACAGGAAAAGCACCAGTAGTTAATTTTAAAACACATCTCTTTAGTCTTAAGTACAGTAAGAAAATATGTTCAAGAGAACAGATCACATATGTGAAACAGTCAATTCAACTCACAAGCTTTACAGACAGTTGATCAGTAATATTATCTCTATGGACAGATGACATGGAAGTAGAATGTTCTCTCGACTGTTGGTTTTTTGTTTTTGTTGTTTTTGTTTCTTTTTAATATATCCTTCTCTAGATAAAAGCAGTCATACTGACCAACAAAAATAATTAAGTAATGAAAAACTACTCTGCATTGAAATTTGAAAAATTCATGGAAATTTGAACAGGTCTTCTACAGGCTCTACTCTTTTACTAAAGAAACATATTGGCAAGCATAGCTTATGAGCAGGCCCTACAGTAAGTAAAGCATGCTTTCTGCTTTTAGATGATTCATCTTCAATTTCCTACTACCTGCATTCATTTCTCTACCTGCTAACTTACTTTGCCGTATCCAATGAGTTAGTCGGCCTGATGTTAATATAGGTAACTGAGAGCAGAGTCTTTATTTTTATTCCAGTCACCACAAAATAGGAGAACCAATATGACCATTGGAAGTATAAATGCTTCATGATAGGTTATTACCTACCTTTACTTTTTTCAGTCCTTCCCATGTCTCCGTCTGAGCACAGTTCATCAATGCTTCTTCTACTTTTGTGAGCCAGCTTGTTATATCATTGATAAATTTCTCCACCTGTGTACTCTGAGTGGTGAACTCTTTCAAGGTTCCTTTTGCTTCTTCGGTAATTTCTTTGGCATGCTCCAGTTTCTGCCGTAAGTCTGCTTCTATAAACTAAACATAAAGTAGGATTTCATTAAAATCTGTGGCGACCAGGACACTCATTGGGTAGCAATTCTGTTCGTGTGCAGCTTAACTGTCAAAAACACATCAACCTAACCATGGAGGCTAATTCAACTTTTCTAAGAAGGGAAACCAGTGGGTGCAAGGGGTCAAACAAGTTAAGTGATGGGACAATGGAAACAGTACGTATTTACAGTTGACAGTGGATGTTAAAGTGGCAGTTTTGACAGAGGGCCCAAGGAAAACGGAAGGTCACGTTTCAAAAGCAGAGCTAAACCTACACAGGGTTACCAAGTTTGTGACTAAAACCCGGTTCTGAATTCTTCTCCAGAAACACTCACACTTGTATGTCCTGATGTAACCACGACTCTGAACAAACACCACTTCAGAATTTTATCATAAAGCAATTTTGTTTTTGTCTCCCACTTGAAAGCATTCAGCGAAGCTAGTTCTCTTCTCCCGAAGGACTTATTTCAGGAGGGCCCCTGACTCCTGTGGTCCTACAGATCATAAAAGGACTTATAATCATGATAAATTGCAAAATGCTTTCAATTCCACAACGAAAACATCGAGGCCCATTTCATAATCCAAACTGAACTTGAAGTTAGAGCTTTTAGCTTATCCCTACCCTAGATCTGCTACAAATAGGAAGCCCATCTGAAGAAAGGTGTCAAGTGCCTCTTTTTCTATTTCCCCATTTTCTCTAGCTTCTGACCCTGCAGGTGCAGGCAAGCAGGAGGTGGGGGAAGGGCTCTGAAAGTTTTGACAACTATTGTGAGCTGGCATCTGTGCTCCTAGGCCAGGTGACATTTAGCATTCTCTCCTGTCACAGGCCTTCCTCTGTGGGGTTTTCTGAGACTCCCCTCAGTGCTGGGACCTCCCACTGACCTTGCCTAGATACAAGCAATGCACTCTTCTCTGGCTCTTTCTCCTTCCACACCCTGCGGGCATCTCTTTATCTTGCTGCTGAGGCCTCTTCCTCCCTAGAAAGCCTTCCCAGATAACCTGAGATATGCAAGCACTGATGCTTGGTCCTTTCCTTTCCTCTGATAATTCACTTCCGGGCCAGAGGTCACACTCTGGCATTTACACAACAGATGATTCTGAGATGCAGGCCACTCAAAATAATCACTTCTCCTTTGGCAAACACATCAGCAGTCGGCTAGCCTCTCTCTCACCCTTAAGGTCTCTCGGAGGAATTAGAGAGTAGACCTGGCATCCACCAACTGCAGGGGCACATGTCATGCTCTCTAGATGACACCACTGAAACTCTTCCCTTTATTTTAAGGTAAGGAACAGGTGTCCCGATCCCTCTTCCTTGAGGTGGGGGGTGATGGTGAGAAAGCAGAGGACAACGGTAGCTCTCTCCCAAGGCCCTGCCTCCATCTTAACTCTGCAAAAGTCCACCTGATGCCCATTTATATCCTTGACACAGGCAACACGCATAAGCACTCCTTTTCACTTTTCTATTAGCACCCTTTCCCTCTTGTTGCCTCAGGTGAAACTTCTAACATTCTGGTACATGTAGATCATCCACCCGTGATGCTAAGTGATGGACACGCAGTCTCAGGTCAGAGCGTAAGTATAGTCAAGCATGACAGACGGGTTAGCAAGAGGCAGTAAGTAAAGGACAAAGGCCCAACAGGAAGAAGGAAAATGTAGAGGAAATCCCTGAGGGCAGAGACAAATGCTTAGGTTAAAGTAAGGCAGCGGAACACTTAGCCTGGAGCCTGTGGTGCTGGCTGCCGAGAGACTCCCCCCCCCCCCCATGTTACTTGTTCCTACAGCTCCCTCGCTGAAGTAGCTCAGACTTCCTGGTCGACCCGGCCTGCCTCGTGCTCCCTGTGGATCTGTGCCGAACGCAGAGCCCTGAAATGAAGTTTGCGATGGCAATGTCTCCTAACCCAACGACTGGGTAACTGAATTAGAAGCATATCCACATTCATAAATGTGGTTTCTGCTCCTGTCCAGACGTAAAATGGCCCATGAGGCAAGCTGGATGATACTACTCCTAAAATTTAGTAAGGAAAAGGGTGCTAATCACTTCCAACACAAATATAATATGTATATCAGACATGTGTTATTAATACTAGCACAAGGAATTCTAAAGATGTTAATGTTTTAACCCCCATATATGGTAAGAGCCGTGTGTTTTCTTGGAATTATGATGATAATGAGAATATATATATTGTATATATATGACATATAAAATTTATTTATTGTTATTGTATTACATATCGATTATATTATAGATTATATTTGAGGTTGAGTCTAGTATACGGTAGTTATTACAAACCTGACTGAATACTTACCTGAAGGTCTGGTGGTGTTTCTGGATTTTTAGTTAATTCTTTAAGATCATTAACTTTGCAATGAAGTTCTTCCAATCTCAACGCTTTGTTTTTAACTTCAGACTGCGAAAATAAAAGACAAAGACAAAAAGCATAACTCGTCCAAACGTTGACATATTACATTCAGCATTTAATAATTTCAAGAGTTAACTCTGACGTGATGTCCTAACTTCAAGCCAGGGTTAAAAAAAAAAAAAATCTCTGTTTCATTTTCTGAGTCTATCATTATTTACGAATGTGAAAAAATGCCATCATTAACTTTCTCTTCCAGTGTGAGGGAGTATGCAGAACTTTCTCCCCATCCCCTTTTACTGGAAAAAAAAAAAAGCTCCTGGAAAAAATTAAACACTAACTAAAACGTCTTGAGTCACTGGGGATTTTCAATAACTGTCATTTATTCATTAGCGTTAATATCACTGGCTACCACGGCAGAGAAATTCCTTTGAGGAAGGATCTCAAAGCACATACACATCGGGAGTGCCTAATTAACTGTGAACTATATGTAATACATAAGAAACATTCAAATAAAATTTTAAAATGTTTTTTTAAATAAAAGCCTTTTTTTCTATTTTGCCTTTTTATTTTTAATTTATTTGCACCCACACTAACACACACAAAAAAAAGAAAAAAAATGGGTCAAGAATCATTTCTGAACAAATTAGATGCTTGTAAACGTAACTATTTATTTGGAGCCTCAAAGGAACTTTTGATAAAGGATCCCTCTCAACTTCAATATGATGTTTTGGTGTTCGGGGGACACTAACAAACTTTCAGTCCAGAAAGCAATTTACTTACCCAGAAAGCAATCTGCTTACCCAGTAAGACATGATGAACTAATTGTCAGGCCCACTGGCTTCCTCCAGGAGCAGGCTGAACAATTAAAAGATCACACCTAGTCACTTACTCACTTTCTCTCCTGAATTGCAGCAGCAACTCACTATGAGGCACTGGGCTGAGCCCACTTGACTGATTGTATTCGTTGCCATACCACACAGCCAATCACATAAAAACCCACTTCTGTGAGTGACTGAAGCCGGACACGCTGAACGTGGGGCTGATGTCCACTGGCTTCCTGGATCCCAGAGGTCAGTAGTAGGAGTGTACTGTGTGCCAGTTACATAATTGGCTCCCCAAAAGAAGAAGACCCCGACTTGCAAAATTTACCCCCATTTTGAGCTACAACACGATGTCACCGCACGTGGGGTTGGAACATCCTACCACATGTCCCCCAAGCAGGTATAATAGGGACCCATAACTCAAGAGCCTAGATAAGAGTTGCGTGTAGAACAGAAATTAAGAGTTATAAGTTTTAAGTATTTACTAGCTTCATTTTAATATACGTATTTATATTAAATTTATATATTATATAAATGTATATATTATATACATTTATATAATAAATTTAATATATATTCTATTAACTGTAAATTTATCTACAATTTAATTTTCCGTGATGGTTGTGTTTAACCCTGGCTTGCGAAATTCTTTAAATTTTGATAATTTTTTTAAGAGCTGGTACAAGCCCTCTTCAGGCATACACTACTGTTTGAGCCGTAATGTTCATTTAACGTCAAAGGTAACATCTTAAGAGACTGTAGTATCCCTCTCCTGACTGCACTTGAAGTTGGGCTGATTTCCTCTACTTCTGTTTGCCCTTAGAAATAGGTGTTTGATTTAAGACTCTCCAGAAAGCTCTTTGCGTCAAGGCTAGATAGCCTAGGTATACAGTTGATTCACCTACATTTTTTCAGACTGCAGTCATTCATCATCTATCTGTCATGTTCCATCGGTGTGCCAGGCACAGTACCAACACCCAGGCATGCAATGGTGAATACCAGTCTGCCCTCATGGGGAGGAGTTGGCTATATGTTTTATGAAACAAGTTATCTTTTGTCACTATTTCCTCTGACCTTGCTTCATTGTTCATCCCTGCCTAATTACTACTGCACATTTCACATACATACTGTTATGTAAATAATGTAAATGCCATGAGGATAGGGGCTTTGTCTGTTTTACTGTTTATTCTCAGTGTCTAAAAGAGTGCCTGACATGCTTGTTAAGAATCTGGGGACACCTGGGTGGCTCCATCAGTTGAGCATCAGACTTCGGCTCAGGTCATGATCTTGCAATTTGTGAGTTCGAGCCCCGCGTCGGGCTGTGTGCTGGCAGCTCGGAGCCTGGAGCCTGCTTTGGATTCTGTAACTCCCTCTCTCTCTTTCTGCCCCTCCCCTGCTTGTAGTCTGTCTCTCTCTCTCAAAAATAAGCATTAAGAAAAAAAAAAAAGAATTTGATGAGTGAATAAGTAAATGAATGCAAGAATGGAAATAAAAAGTTTAAAATAAATTGGTGACTAGAGCTTTTTAAAAGGCCACTTTCTGGGGACGCTTGTCACACTCCCGTCTCCAGTTTTCTTCCGTTTCTAGAGGGGAAGTAGAAGAACCCAGCATCTACGGTAAGTGTTCAGCACATGGTAAGTACTCAGTAAACATCTTGTTTGAATGAAAAAAAAAAAATCTAAATATGATTAAATTATAAACGCCTTCAATTTGGTTTTCCAGTAGGAAGGTGCCATAGTCTGAAATGAACGGAAAAATGGGAAAAAACATAGATTTTATGGGCTTTTACTTCTCTACCAATATTTTAAGTTTATTTTATCACTAAGAAGTGATAAAAAAAAGAAAAAAAATCTTATCCGTTGCCTAGTCAAGTCTCTAGTAAATAGCAAAAGATAGTTACGACTTTTGTAACATTCATATGCGTCTCTGAAAGAAAGGATGAACTTTTAAAAAAGGACACATTTTTCTTGTATTCTGGTCAATGAGCTCACAGGCTCACGTATGTAGATGTGGTCAATTTACCTCAAATTCTTTAAGGAATTCTTCTGCTCTGACGCTATTATTCAGGTTACTGATGCTTTCGGCCAACTGTGGAACAGAATTGTTTGACCATCCGTCGATCTCGTCTTTACTTGAAAGTACATCACCCCAAATGGTCAGGCTTGCCCTCAGCCTATCCATGTTTTCCTCAATTTTCTCTGATACCTGGGACAGAAAACAGAAGCCATGTCACTATTAGTCTGAGGCTTTAAGATGCTCCCTGCCTCACCAAATTGCTAAATAATGTCAATGCTTCCTCAATCAAAAACTATATTCTCACTGAAAAACAAAGTTTTACAAAAATTATTATAAGGGAATTCGTGCACTTGACTCAAATAAATGCTAACTATTACATAAATTGTTTCTGTCACTGGGAGAGTTGACTGAATTTCTGAGACATTTGATTTTCATTTGTAAGTTGGGAAACTAAGAACAGGATTATTGGAGTCAATAATAATATAACATTCTCTAGGATAAGGGTCCATCTAGGGCAGTATTATACTTATTTTTGAAAGGAACACAATAAGCACTTTTATTTGTAATGCTGAAGTATAAAAGTGGACATAAATTAGACTTGAACATATTTATAGAATAAATAAATATGTAGGACAACAACCAACTTTGTACAACCAACTTTGTCTAAAGTTAAGCACTATTGCTTAATACTCTTCCTGTAGTAAGAATGTTTTTTAACATTTTTTAAATGTCTATTTATTTATTTATTTATTTATTTATTTATTTAT